AAATATTTGAATGTACACATCTAAATAATGAGATTTTCTAAAAAAAAAAATGCTGCTTTAGCCTGAGTTCTCCATCTTTCTCATTTATCACAGGGATTAAGATAAGAACAGATATGACTAACACCAGGAAAATTTCTAACAAAGTAGCTTTCAACATCTGTTCTTAAGTAGTGGGTAGAAATAATCTTTCTCCAGAGTTCAAAAACCAACCAAAGTTTAAAAGATTTTGTTGTCTTCTCTCCCAGCACCTCAAAAAACCCGCCAACACTTTTGTGCTGTTACTTACTGCCAACTTCATTGCCATAGCTTTAAACTAGAAGTGATACCCAGGCTTACTTTTTAAAAAGCCTAAGTAATACTTTAATACATTTAAGTCTCCTTACACAAGAAGTTCAGATAGAAAGCAGAAGTTAACATTTCCCCCAAATATGCTGTAGATATTTCATTACTAATTCTATCAGCAAAAACATCCACAGTATTCATTACAATGTTAGAAATACTGTCTGGAAAAATACAGGTTTTTCAAAAGCTTTGCTAAATCTTTTGAGCTGCTATTACTGCTCACATTCTGTGAAGGTTGAGTAGGGTGTCAAAACCTCTTTGCAGATTAAATTAAGACTTTGGCTTCTCCTCAGTATAAGAACAGTGCTCCCATAGGAGTTTTAGAGTTCAGGAGAGCACCTACCAAGAAATAAATCATCATTCCACAGTTCACTAAGATGAATAGTTCCTTTTATTGACATTCACCTTTCTCCTGAAAAGGTGGGTAAAAATCTCTTTGCATGAGCACTTCTTTACACAAGGTAGAAGAGAAAGAGGTACAACAATGTAAGCCAGATGAAGGGAAACGGGAGGCAGTACAAAAAGGAACACTCTCTGCCTTACTTCCCCTATTGCTTGTCTCTGGTTCCTAGCGGAGTTGCTTCCCATATTTACACCCCTTCCAGTCTCTGGTCTCAGTCCTAAATGTCAGCAGTACATTGTTAGTAACTGTGTGTCAGATTTGACAGAAAGAAAAATCTATCTATCTATCATAGACTGTTTGGGTTTTTTCCTTAAATTACAAGACTTAATTAAGTTGCAACTCCCTCTACCTACATATCTCCCTATTCCATTTTACCCCTTTGTAGACTCTACTAAATAATACTTATAAAATCACTCCATATCAATGTGACTGCCTGGCTTTCTCATAGCTGTGACCAAGCTTCACTCAGCATTTTAAAAGCCCTTGTATGGAGTTTCTCTCATTGTCAAAATGCCAACTGACTTACTCAAACACTATGTGCATTCCCCACCAATGTATTAAGAAATGTATCTGAAGGGTTGAGGAAAGTACAGTATCAATTCCATAGGGCTAACAAGCAAGTTGCTACAGTTCATTTACTTAAAATACAAATGCACTTAATAAGAGTGATTTGTACAAGTAACAGAGGCAAATGGTGCTCCTCAGATCTTTCCTCACTTGATTTCAAACCCACCAGAATACTCACACCATGGACGGATCAAAAAGTGAAGCCAAAAGCTGGTTGCTGCTACTTCTCAGCATCTTGCCCCACAGCATAGATCTCAGCCAGAAATTACTCATCAATTCAACAACTCAGTAAAGTGCACATTAAATACCTGCACATTAAACCTTCACAGAGTAAAGCCATGGGTTATTATTACTATGTTCGCTTTAAAAGAGAGAACCAAAAAACTTTATTCCTCAGGATAAGGCTGGGTTCAGAGATAATGCTGATCTGTAGTAGTACAAGATGAACAGTTAGTATCAAATAGAACTCATGACAGATTATAAAGTTCAACAGCATTGCCCAAAAAAATTTCCAATGCCATAAATATACCAAAAAACAATGAAGATAAAACATGAGCACCTTTTCAAAAAGTCTACCATGTAAGAAATCTTGCTCAGAGCACAATAAAACCTCTTTCAAGTAACCTGAAACCCAAGAGTCAAGTTGAAGTCCACTCTAGTGTCAAACAGTTTTAATTTCAATTAGTTGCAAAACCAACAGCAGTGAGTCATAAAGCTTTGACACTGCCGAAAAAGTGAAAAGCACATCTGCCTACATCCATAGGTTTCATTAATCTCCTGATTTACTAATCTCCTGATTTATTAATCTCTATCAAGCATATGGAGATATGTAACTACATTTGTCCATGAAGACATACAAAATTAGTTCAGTAAGCGCTTATGGTGGTCAATCTAATAGTTGCTGTCAATAAAAGTTTCCCTTCAAAATGCATCCCTTTCATGAACAGCATAAAAGATGAGTTTATTTCACCATAAAAGAAATCAGTAAATTGACCCCAAAGTATGATTGTGCTAATCTGTAGGAGGGAAAGTTTGTCAGAACATTGTTAGACATGATATAAGGAGACATTCCCAAACACTTTAAGCCTAATGCCTAATAGGTTAAAGCTGGCACATGAGCAAAGCTACCTAGGTCCCATTTGGGAAGTCATCATGATACTGAAGACATTTTGCCACACCAAACCTAGGAATGTTTTGATTCAGCCTTTTTTGTTGTTGTTGTTTGAACCACTTAGAAATCAATGTAACCTGACTACCCAAATATCTTTTGAATATGTTCAAGGCGTAGAAATTAAGTCCTGCAGGCCCCATCATGTTCCCTTCTCTCAAAGACACTCTCCAAACAGCAGTGCTTATCCCAGAGAAATGACTGAACCAGAACAGTTTACTAAAGAACACTTCCCTGTAAGGAACATCAGCATCTGCATTACTTGTTTTGATAGCAAAAAGTTGTGGAGTACTACTTTGTCTCCCAGAAATTCAGTGCAGGCTTTTGGCTGTGTTAGAATTTCTGAACTCCTCTCTCTACATCAGTCCATCTTGTAATAGAAACCTACCTACTTGGGAGCCTTCAGCTCTGGGACAGAACTGCCAAGAAAAGCCATGGCAGGGAACCACAGAACTAGAAAAGGGAGCAGAGAAAACTCAGCAGCTCTCAGGTTACTCTGTTGTTCTGCTTCTCTGGTGAGAAGGATGTTTCTTTCAGAGAGGTTTTCCTTGCTCCTTGCTCCTCCCTCCCCAGTGTCATCCGCCCTGGAGCTAAAGGAAGCTGCATGAATGTCACTGAAAACAGTAGTCTGAAGAAGCAAAGTGAAAAAAACTGCAGGAAAAAAAGGTCCATTTGGAGGTGAAGTTACCAGAAAAGCCCGACTGAACAGAACATCTACAAATAGAAACCATTCAACTAGAATGCATTTTCAATTCAGGAAGTTGTAATATCCCATGTCTCATACTCCCTAGCTGTACAGCTTATTCTAGCCCTTAGTTTTCAGTAGCTATGGATGATTTTTCACCTCTTGCATGAGACTAAAGACTACATCTAAAACTGAGATTAAGAGAGACAGGTTAACATCTTAACTACTCTAAGCAGTTGCTTTCAGGTTTGGAAAATGTTCAGACTGAAAAGCAAATTACCTGGTTAGACTGCATTGTAACAACTATAAGTGCTCTAGAGCTTTTTTTTTAAAACCTCTCAGTATGGAGACTAGACGCAGTTGTTGCAATTATAAATTCCTGCCTTCTGCACAAAGACAAGCAATGAAAATCCACTGTGTGACTCCTACAAAAGTATCATAGCAGAAAAATATCAGAATAGACTGGAATTACTGACACATCTAATTTTTAGCTGTAACTTTCACAACAAAGGTTATCTAAAATTGTAATACTCTACACCACTCTTTAGATGTTCAGACTTTCATGTGAATTAGCTCTAAGTCAGATGTTTCTCCATGGCTTTAGAGCCAGGAAAAAACACACTCTTGATTGACTTTATATTACATCAACAACTTCAAATCTAAAACTTAAAGATAGTTTTAAAAAATCAAGCAATTCAACATGATTGAACAGAAGCTAGAATATTTCTTTAAAAGTCCAAAAGTGCACAGACCTGCAATTGTTAGTTCACCTGTACCCATATCAATCAAGGTACACAGGAAACATACTGGAAAATAAATTTTCCCAAAGGTGTGCTGAAGATATTGGTAATTGTCAAAGTGACAAAATTTCCTTAAATGTGAAACTATACTAGTGATTACTTGTTGCGTCAACCTCATATTTACTGCAGGGGTCTAATGGAAGTTTTAATAAATAAGCAGTAATGGGAAAGCCAGAGTAATGCAAGTATATGCAGTACATGCATTATTTTAATGACTGTCTTCTTATTCTTAAACCACTTCATATACTTCTTACTGACTAATTCAGCTTATACATTTATCAGATAATAAAATATTATCATAATCTTTCATAGGGCTTGGTCAAGTACTGCAGGGACAAACAAAGTAGCTTCAGGTTCAAGACTAAATTTTAATTCTCCAAATCAGCTCAAACCTTACTAAAAGCTGGGACACAAGCAAGCTTAAAATATTGATAGAAAAACCTACTGAAGAACTAAACTGTTCTTCATCAAAATTATGTGGTCATTAAAACACTGAGCCTCTTTTCTACAAGAAATTAGATTTTCAGTCTCTGCATCCCATTTTATCCCACTTTTCCTTAAAGAGTAGTCTCATTATTTTCAAGCTTAGAAAAAGCTTCTGAGTCAAAATTGGCTTATTTTTGTAGAAAGCACATAGAAGCAACAGTCACCAGTTATAGGTGTATGCACTGCATTATAGTGCCAAGTTTTAACATCACAAGTGTTTAAGTTAGCAGACTACCCCATTCTGAACAAGAGATGTAATCATTCCACAGCATTTTGGAAGGCAATTTCCTCTGTAGTGATAAAAGCCTAGTCTAAATACACTTATTTTCCTGTTCCTAAAACAAATGAAATTAGCAACACTAGCAGTTAGAGATTAGTTCCAGATTTTCTGTGCAAACAGTAGCAACAGCACTTTTCACATGCATATGACTATACATATATGGGATTTTGCCTATATAAACTTGTCTTCAACTCATTTACAGTGCTGAGCTCTTGGAAGGCATACATTTTACTCCCATCACCAAAGCTCCCTATATAGTAGCTACTTACAGAGAAAATGGGCAGGGTGAACCCCACTGTGTAGAGGACAGTGGATGTGATGGTACTGTCATGGAACGGATACTTGATGCTGTCATCATTACAGAAAAAGCCTCTCTGATACGGTTTTATTTTGGCCAAGTTTAGAACACCAAGGGGTAAGCCAGCTGTTGGGGGAAGGAAAACAAAAAACAAAAACAAGAAATACATGTGGTTAAATTAAAAAAAAAAAAATCATTTCTAATCATGCATGGAGGAAGCCACTGAACATGCATAACTCAAATTTCCTAAGTATCATGCAATGCACACACTTACCAAATTCTGTTTATAGACATTTCTTTTTCAGAAGACTACTTCAGAAAGACTGAGGCTCCCCATCAGGTACAGATGTTAAAAAAGTATAAACTTCAAAGTCTTCCATTCATAAGGTGAGTTGCCACCAAACCACACCAAACCAAGATTACATTCAAGAAAAAGCATTTGCCCTTCACATGACTAAACAGTTATTGAGGGCAGATAGCCTTTTGTCCCTCCTCCCTGTGCCACTACCTCACAAGCTTGGCTTGTATCTGACTTGCCAGCCTTGTTCTATACACTATAATGTGGTCAATATTTACAGATAAGACAATGAATATACACAGGTTTTGTCACGGTTAGGGAGTTAAAAATTTCATGCAAGTAGTTTTCAGGCAGGTAATGGGAACAAGGGAACTGCAGGGACACTTTGTATGGATTGCATCTCCAGGTCATGAGATTATACCTTGAGATTGCATTTACACAGCTTTTGTACGCTTTGGAAGATTTCTGCATAAAAATATACAAGTTATTAACATGGTAGCTGAGATCAGGGTACAAATGATAGCTCTCAGAATTTACACACTGTGATATATTACCAATTCCCTCTCCTAAAAGTTAACTTGCATTCTACTGACAGTCATGCGAAAGAAGCCATCAAGGTTTCTGATAATTATATTCAGGACTAACTTATTTCTGATAAGAACCACCTGTCATGTAATATATATTTGCAGGAGCAATAACCTCAGGAAATCCAACTTTTTCTTTTTATGTTACTTTCTCATAAAATCAGTAAGGTTGGAAAGGACCTCCAAGATCATCAAGTCCAGCCTTTAACCAAATAACATCATGTCCACTTTCTCCCTTTCCTTTGATCAATTGAGCAAGCGCTAGATTAAAGTGGGTAAATTACATAATGCTAAATCCCCAAACAAAATAAATTTTAAAACATAGAAAGGGCAAATAACTTTGTATTTTCCCCAGCACCCATATAATATGCAATGCTGCAAATAGACATTCTATATGTAAATTAGAGCGTGAGTGCAATTACTGGAGCAGAAAAGACTGCTCAGTATACAAACAACCTGTTGTAGTGAGAACAAAAAACACGTCAAAGAAGTTAACATGATGAGTGATTGCTTTGATTTCTGGTGACACCTGTTGACTACCAGGTAAGTAGCTTAAAGGTGTTTTAAGCTTATTGCTATATACTTCATTAGAAGAAAAGACATCATGAGTAAACAGTAGGAACAGAGTGATAAATCCTGTCCCCTTCTTTGGGCTGCTGAGCTGCAGTGCAAAGGCTTGTGAAATGCATATTGAAATTGTACATGGTTGGCAGTGCCCCAGCTTTCAACTCTTCTGAGAAAATTGCTATGGTCACAAGAAAGCAGTTTGGGAGTGTTTTTAATCCTCTCACAGAGCAGAGGGAAACTTTTTTCACAAATCATCTGCAATATGAAAACTGTCCGCACTTACTGATGCTTGCCATCCCATATAGAAAAAGTGAACCAAAACACAAATGGCATCAAACTTATTCAACCTCAAGCACAAAGTTTTTCAGTAAGTAGCATGGTATACCGTTGAATCAACTACATCTCAAAGGCCAGTCTCTCTCCTTCCATCTGCTTTAATGACTGAGAGAAGAGCTAAAGCTTGACCAAGCACAAGTGGCAGACAAAAGCAGATGAAACAACTGCATCCCTTCAAACATGAAGATAGCCACACTGAAGAACTCAAAGTTCATTCTGACCAAAGGGATTGCTTTATGTTCACATGCCCAGAGCCAAGCTTCAGCTACTTTCAAGGCCATGGCAAGATTCCATTAACATAAGAGTCCATGCTTCCTGTCTTTACCTCTGCTATTGCACATCCAGCAGGATGATGGAATGGTAATACCATTACCTATTTGATACAATCATATCTTCTCAAACAAGTCATCAGATTTTCACATAACGGAAATACCACATGCTCGTGATTAACTTAAGCAGCAGCTTGTGTTTTGCAGAAGTGGACTACTTCACAGACAAATACCCATTTTCCACAAAAAGCTGCTACAATCTAATATCAAGAACTATTACACATAATAAACTTTTGACATGGCAAGGGGGAAAATGGAAAGCAGCACATAAAGGGGTCAGATGAAAACAGTTTCAAAGTGACTGCAAAACTCATCTGCATAGACTACATTAAAAGAATACATAAAAAAAGGAATTTGGTTACACGTCTTACACTAACTTCCCATTTCCATTTTTTTTCATTCCTGTTAAATTCTTACTGCAATCTAAATGATGCTCTGCTTTCCAACAGTGGACTAGAAGATTTTGTAAAGTGGTCTCCAGTTGACCATTAACCTATCCCAAAGACTGGTAGCATTTTTACTGTTGCTTGTTGGGAGAGAAGATGAGACTTAGTATATGTAAGCAAACAGTCCTGAACTTTTCACTGTAAGCAGAATAAAACCCCACCACTAATGTACATAACAGGCAAGTATTGCCATCAGAGGTGCCAAGCATCTCCATGACCTTTAAGAAGGCTGAACTTCTGAGGAATGTCCTTATGTTCAGTCTCATTAACTTCCACAAACTGGAGTAAAGAGTAACCAAGATCTCATGCGAGATCACCAGGCTAAAAGGCAATCTTGTAGAGCAGCTCTCATGCCTTACCCTCTGGCTCAGTAAAACTTCTTTTCCTTTTCACCTAGCCAGTACCAGCAGTAACCTCAAGTTACTTTTCTGAACCATGTAGCTTTATACCTAAAGGGATCATAATGGCTTAGCTGTTACTCATATCCTATAAAGTGTGACCTTCAGCTGTAAAAAAAATGACTATTACTTGAAGTCACCCATCAGACTGGAGCATATCAGAACTGGATTTCATCTACTTTCTGGTAAAAATTGTGTAGCTTATCTTCTCAATAACTAGTGACCAACAGATTCTGGACTGTTTTGTTAGGTAGCAGCAAGAAACAGACAGCAGTTCTCTGATCTTTCTCTCCCCTTTAATTATAAAGGGAAAACAGAGCACTGGAGTGACCAGATTGTGACTTAAAGGACACACTCCTACAACACTCCCAGATATAGACTCTAGCTAACCCACAGACCAGGCTGGATGGGGCTTGGAGAAACCTGGTCAAGTGGAAGGTGTTCCTGCTCATGGCAGGTGCATTGGAACAAGATAATCTTTAAGATCACCTCCACCCAAAATATCCTATGGTTTTATAACCCTGAAAGCAAAAATATTCTATGGTTTTATAAATCCCGTTGAAGAGGAAAAGAGACTACAAAGATCTGAAGCCTTTGCCTGTGAAAGAAAGGTAAACAAGCTTCATACTCATGAACAAGAAGAAAGGTAAACAGAGTAAAAAGGGAGACAAAGGCAAGAATGATGCTTGAATTACTGAGCAAGGGCTACAAGGACGGAACAGCCTTAAGTTTTGGAGAAATGTAAGAGCAGGGCAACACATTTCTACAGCTACATGAGATATGCTGAGTTTACAAGGAGTTTCCAACTCTAATGTATAGGTCCAAGCCAGCTGCAGTGTAGTTTCCACTGACCACCTACAGTAATTCACAGTAATATTCAAGAAGTATTTGATCACATCTGGCTGGATGACATAGTGTGACAAATGCCTCTAAGAAGGGAAGGAAGGGAGGTCCGGGCTAGGAGAATAGGGAGGAAGTCCATGGGAGAATGGCCCTCCACCCACAGAAAAAGAATGTTAAAAATAAAATACCAGTAACCAAGGGGAGAAAGTGATCTTTTTCCCCCCAAAGGAAGTTTGTTTAATTAAAAAAAATCAATTTGCTATATTTTTAGGGTTTTTTTTAAAGACTGAACAAAAAACAAATTTCAGTTTATCCTACAAATTGAAGTGATGGGTACCAATTCATCATCTTTTAACAATGTAGGTAACACTGCACTACTTCTGTGTGTTCTGTTCTGATCTGTGGCATTTATCACACTGGTAATTTTTGAGTTAGGTGCTTTAACTTGAAGGCTGAAGAAGTCAGATTCTGAAAACTTCCAGGTGTTGATGTAGCTTCAGCAGCAAGCTGCCCATTTTTCTTAAACAGGAGAAAAGGATTTATAGCCAAATTAGTATCTTTTACAACAGTTGCCATAAATATTTAAGACTAGCAAAGAATATTATTGTTTTATGTCTAAAAGGAGAAACTCTTAAAGTTTCTAACCATTTCAGTGATACTGAACTACCTAGTTCTCAACCAGATGAGGCAGACACAGAACTTGGCTCAGCTTTCAAGAGCAGCCCAAAACAACCTAGACTGTCCTGTCCTTCTCCCATCTCTGGCCATCCCCCACTACCCCTTTAGGCAAGCATTAGTTTTCACACCAACCTGACCAAAAAGACAAGCCCACACAACACTGGTTTTTCAGAGGCACTTGCTCATCTGGCCAACTGCATTACTGTAAGCGCTGGCTTACAGGACAGAGTAGGAACATGTAGCCAAGGGTGTGGAATAAAGGACAAGGACAGACTGGGACAGATCAGTTTCAACACCTCGTGAAACTGCATCTTGATTAGTGGTGCTTTCTCACCCACAATTTTAAATAGTACAAAGGAATGCACTGTATTTTGTAAACACACCTTAATTAACCCACTTGGCCTCCTTATCTGTGCAAGTGATTGAATGGCTCTGTGCAGTCAAACTTGTGCTGAATTGCTGTTTCAAGTCCTCCAAGGCAGTATTACTCTTCTATCTGGTCCTCAACGAGGAAGTTCTCTAACAAAACAAATTAATATCTAGGAACTGTGAGAAAGGCAGTTACCCTTGGGGGACACTACCATAAATGAGAGCATTCTAGCTTGATTATTGACCAAAGCTTTTCTTCATGCTGCAATGAACTCACA